CCCCCCCCCCCCCCCCAACCCTATGTAACTCATGTTAAAGCACACCAAAAACCCAGCAATCACTACTTTTTTAAATTCTTGGCAAACAGGAGGCGATGTTAACCAGTAAAAAGATTTTGCAGTAACCAAATAAAAAAAAACAGGTAGTTAACCCCAAAAATTTCAATTTACAAACCTTACAAAAATAATAAAAAAATTAAACAACTGTTAAAAAAATACAGAGGAAAACAAAAAATTCACCGGAATGCTATCAGAATGGTTTGGGCCACAAAACATAACATTAAATTGGGAAAGCAACCTAAATATTTGGTAATACCTAAGGGGGTCCAAACTAAACTAATGCAATATGTGCATAAACAGGGACACTTTAAAACAAAAAACCTCTTAAGCGCCTTAAAAATACAAGCTGGTTGCCTACCATGGAAAAAATGGTAAAGCAGTGGTGTAACCATTGCATACAATGTGCAATGGTTAATGCGGACCTGCAGGTGGAAAAAAAAAACCCTTAAAAACACACATACTATGTAATATATATTTATATTGAAGTAAATATGTATATGTAACCAGGTTTCTTCCTGAGCCCAGTGGGTAAGAATAGGTGCCTTACACCCTGAGCCCTTGTAAGGAAAGGATGGGGGTGCTTGAATTTGATTGGGTCACACCTTGAGCCCTCGGTACGGTATAGGCGGAGTGCCCTAAATTGAGCGGGTAACAGTGGTACGTGAGCTTGATGTCCATCAGTACACTTGGTGACTATTTATGGAGAGATGGTATGTGAACCATTGAAGTTTGGGACTGGCTGGTGTAGGTATTATCTGGTTCTGAACTGAAAGTACTGAAAATATAAGGATTTTTTACATTTAACAGTATTTTCATTCTGTTTGTGGATCTTAACAGTTTTTTTTTCTGTCACCTTATTACAGCATGCTTTGATGAGAAGCTGCTTTAGGGGCATTCTTTGCAGACTTTACAATTCTCCAGACTTTTAGCTCTTTACAACCCACTCTCATCTCCCACACCAAGAGTTTGTGCTCTTTGGAAGCATAGCTGCTTCTAATTCGTGTCTTTTTCACCATAGACAGATGAGGTGCTCCACTGAGTGCTGGTGCTGTGTCAATCAGAAGCTGATAATTTCTCTGAAATTTCTTCAGGAACTTATCTAAATTGTTTGCCTAATGAAATGGTAGAAGTCATTTTGTGTTGTGCTGAGCAGTGTTGCATCTTGATCTACACAATTTTGAGTTTTTGTTGTACATTTCTCTTGCCCTTGTTGATTTTTCTGGATATGCCTGTTGCAGATTTATTTTCACTTGCATGACAGTTTTGAATTCAGGCTGCAGCTGTGTTTTTACCACAGCATTCTTTGTTTCCCTGTTGTATATGACTAGAACTCTCTCCTAATGGACATTTCTGCTATCAGATGAGTGAGGGATTGCAAGCTTGAGGCTTGTATGGCAATAGTGGGAGAGACTGGCAGTGAAACGTCAGTATTCTTATTGACTGCTGATGGTGCATGTATCTCCTTAAGGTCTGTCTTATTTATTAACTGGCAAGCCCCTGGAGACTTTCTGAACTCCTTCCAAGGCACTAATAGATCATTGTCCAGAATAGAAATAGCAGGCTAACAATCCTTTCTGTACATCAGCACACTAGAGAAGTTCTCACAGTTGCCAAGCAATCTCTGTATGTATTCTCCTCCATACTTCTGTGCCTTGGGGATGGGAGTTTGCACCAGTGGTTGTCATAACAGCTTCCTTGACTCATTCAGGAGCAGGCACTGGAGGTTTCACTGACAATCTCTTGAGATTTGAGCACTGAGAACAAGTGCCAATGGTTACTGTTAAATCTAACATGCTAATGGGGCTTTGTCTTGAGCACACCTCTGTGGAGCTACCCAAAGAATTGACCAGAAGACACCCCTCTTTCCTTGACACATGCACTCAATCAAGTCAGGGGGTCACAGTGCACTTTGAGAGGGAACATAATAAAAATAAGTATTTGCCATTACATTTCCTTCTGACAAAGTTCCAGTACTTTAGGTGAAATGTTTCTCTCCTTTGATAAGTTGTTGGGCTAAACCCCAGAATGCCCGTCTGGTGTATATATACATTATGAGGAAAAGCACATATGTGGAACTCAGTGTTGTTGTTATCCCCTTGCTTCCCACCCTGCAGAAAAATGCCTAGAGGAGTCTAAAGTTACTGAAAACTTTTGTTTTAACATCCATACAGTACAATGTTCTGGTCAGCATCAGTTTTTTTATTAAAAAAAAAAGCTTCTGTAGCATTCTGAGCAGTGTATACATGCCTCACTAGTGCCATTTGTGCCAGTGCAGAGAGCTGGTGAACTGATAGATCTCAAATAGTAGCTGTCAGTGGAGAACCATGGGTGCAGGTGTAGCTAGTGGGGTTCCATACAGGTCTGTTCCAGGCTTGATGATGATCAATAAATTTATCAACAATCAAGAAGTAAAGTGAAAATTTGTGGATGACACAGAGTGGCATGAAGATTGTCAGAGTGGTAAATAATGAGGATGGGGCAATCATACAGAGCAATCTGGATCACTTGTTAAGCTGGGTTCATTCAAATAAAAGGCATTTTAATACAACCAAATGCAAGGCCATACATCCAGAAATGAAGATGCAGGCCATACTTACAGATTGGGGGACTGTATCTTAGAAAGCAGTGACTGAAAAGGTTTATGGATCTTAGCCCTGGTCTACACTACGAGTTCAGGTCGAATTTACCAGCGTTATATTGATTTAAGCCTGCACCTGTCCACACGACAAAGCCATTTTTTTCGACTTAAAGGGCTCTTAAAATTGATTTCTGTACTCCTCCCCAATGAGGGGATTAGCGCTGAAATCGACCCTGCTGGGTCGAATTTGGGTAATGTGGACACAATTTGACAGTATTGGCCTCCGGGAGCTATCCCAGAGTGCTCCATTGTGACCGCTCTGGACAACACTCTCAACTCAGATGCACTGGTCAGATAGACAGGAAAAGCCCAGCGAACTTTTGAATTTCATTTCTTGTTTGGCCACCGTGGCGAGCTGATCAGCACAGGTGACCATAATATGGAGATATACCTATCTCATAGAACTGGAAGGGACCCTGAAAGGTAATTGAGTCCAGCCCCCTGCCTTCACTAGCAGGACCAAGTACTGATTTTTGCCCCAGATCCCTAAGTGGGCCCCTCAAGGATTGAACTCACAACCCTGGGTTTAGCAGGCCAATGCTCAAACCACTGAGCTATCCCAGAATCGCAAAAGAGCTCCAGCATGGACCGAACAGGAGGTACTGGATCTGATCACTGTATGGGGAGATGAATCTGTGCTATCCGAACTCCATTCTAAAAGACAAAATGATTAAGCGCAGCCAGACACCAGGACACCAGGGCGGTTAGAAGAGTGCAGCAGGGCGTGCTGCGCATCAGAGAAGCTTTGAAAACCAGTTTCATGACTGGCCAGGCTACGG